GGTTTGTCAGCTACATCCTCGATGGACGACCCTTGAATACCTATGACCACCGATAAGGACGCGAATCCTTTCAAGTCCCGCCGTCCAGGATATTGCGACTCCTGAGATCACTCCTTGGAGTAACGAGGAACGTCCCCCGGAGTTCGAGAAATTAATTCCCATCACATCCGAAACTTTTTCCACCCATCTCCCAGGTGAAACTTATGCCACGGTGTAGCGTAACTTCGCGTAAAAAAAAATAAAAAAAATAAAAAATCCGACCGTAACGAGATCACTTATTTTAATCCTTATCTCGCAGTTACTTCCCCTTTATTTTTCCGCGTTAATGTCGAAGGAGTTCTCTTTATATATAAATGTCCAGGTGAAATGAATGCGAACAAAAGGGTTTCACCACCGGAATTTTTTTTCTTATAGAGTGACGTTACAGGGAAAAAGTGGTCATTATTAAGATCATTGAAATTGCAGAGGAAGCAAAGTAAATCGAGTCGCGTCGAACAATGGACCTTCGCCGAAGAAGATTCGGAGCAAGCGAGACGAGGGGAGGGAAAAAATGTTTATCCTTGACCTGCCCACCTACCGTGTGACCCGCTGATACGTATCCACAATTATGCATAATTGTAATGGAAAGAGACTCGGCTTACGATACCGCGGTTACATAAACGAACAAGCGACACACACGCACCCCGGCTCTCGTAATGGCCAAGGTAGTCGCAAACCACAGACAAAACGTCAACCGTGTCTCTCCTTCGACGGCGAACTGTCACGAGACAAGACACGCGAGTCCCTGAGACTCAGTACTTAGATAAAAAGAAAAGGAAGATAGGGAAAAAAAAGAAATAAACCTAAAACCTTCTTTAAAAACGAATAACAGGGGGAACCAGATGCACCAAGATGGCGGCGCGGCTCGAGGCGAGGGATCGAAATGAAAAGGTCGAAGAGAAGGGAGATATGAAAATAAAAAGTGGAGCCTCACCCCGATTCGAGCCTATCATTAACCACTTCTGCCGGCTTATTAAACCTACCCGAGGATTTTTCGCTTCTTTTATCCTCCACTTCGAGAGCGGGACACCTGGCTGCGAAGATCGCAGGTGATGGCCCGGGTTTGAGGTTAGGACCGGCGCGTGGTACAAGGTGAGCCGAAATTCGGGAGGCACGAAAATAAGCCTTGAAACTCGATTTTAAACCCACTTTTCCTCACGTCGTTACAATTTACACCTTTCTTTTCTCCCTACCGTGAGTCGCGGGAAGTTAAGAGACTCGGCAGAGTTTCGCGCCAAATGCAACCACGTGGGACGAACTGTCAAAAAAGCATGACTTTTCCCCTCACCAATATTACCGCCGAAAAATTCAGTCAAATGATTATTCCTCGAATTAACAAGTGTATTCCGTTTGGACTATTAAAAAAAATATATATTTATAAGAATATGATGGATAGGGGAGAATTTTTCGAGATTCTCGTCTCACCCCGTAGATCGGTACGCTTCCGTTCGACCTCGGTGTGGGTGTGCTCGGTGCAGGAACATCGACACGTGCAGGTTGGCAGATGCATCTCCAACCTGACACCTGCCAACCTGCCAACCTGCGGGGTCTCCGGGATACAAAGAGGAGGGCTAGGGCTCGGCAATGGCGAGTGCGCAGCTGCTCGTAGAAAAGTTCCGGCCTTTTCGAGGCCAAGGCACACAGTGCGACCTCCGAGAGCAAACCTAACTGCACTTGTAAATGCACCGAGAAGCTATGCACCGGGTGCACTCGTGCACCATGAAATTTACGATCGCATGTCCCCCCACCTGCAATTCGCCCGGACAATTTCACGACAATGGGATTTTCTTAAAGGGTGTATTACAACGTTAAAAAAAGAAACACCGCAATTTTATGACATTCTTTAAATTAACAAAATATTTCTATCGTTTGATTGACATTTCTTTTCTCATAGTATGTGCGTTCAGAAATGACTCTCACATCGCGTAGTATAACGATACCGGACAATGTGCACTAGTTGAAAAGAAACGAGGGAAATTAATTTTCACTAACGCACTCCCAAGTGGTCTCGTGAGTGCAGCTGCAGCTGCAGGGATCACGCGCATTGCGTCGCACCGGAGAGGTTAAGTGTGCAACGGGGTTGGGAATAGTTGCAGCCTCGTCTTGCAGTAGAACGAAGTTGGATTCCCGTAGAATCCAGGCCACGGAATATTGTCCCGCTTCTCCGGCGCGTCTCGGCCGCAACTATTTCCCAGGGAGTGCGCGGGCACGTGCCTCCGCGTATACGGAGATCCGTCGGTAAAGCAAAACCCGCCTTAGAATCCTTGAAATTAAAAAGCTAGAAGAAACTAAAAATTTACAAAAGCCGACAGCCATGAAAGTTCATTTTTTGCAAAAAATTGTCAAGATATCGATATACAATTTTTAGAAAAATGGAAATTTCACGAGAGCAAAGACCTTCCTTACAGCCTCCATTTTCACGTTGTAAAGTTAGAAACGATTCGGTACACCCAGCTCGGAGGAAAGATTTATAATCGTGACTTCTTCGGACGGCGCTTTCGCACCGCCTTAACTCTGCCCTAAGACTGCACGTAGGGTAATTCTCGTTGAAGCGTTCCTCGGGGAGTAGCAGCCGGTTTTTCCCTACTCCCAAAATGGATTTGGACCTTGGGGTCTAAGAATAAATTTGCCTTGAGGGGTTTCCATCCTTTAGCTCGAAAAGCGACGGCACTTTCGAGGGGCACATTGCCGCTCCGATATTTCAAGAAAACTGACCTTTCCCACGTGGACAACGTTCAGTGGCCTAATCGAGGGTGTCGATTAACCGCGATCAATCGAGGGGCTATTCGGTCGGAAATCAGTGAAAACGATTTCTTTTGATCTAATACAGTAAGCAAGAATGCAATTTCGAGAGCAATTGACAATCGGCCTTTGCGCCAAAATTTCTGTGACTCCTCTGATTAATTTTAATCATCGGAACTTCTCGAGACCATTCAACGCTAAAAAAAAAATTCCCAAAAAAGAAAGAAGAAAACATTTCTTCGGTCCAACGAAATTCATTTCTCACTATACAGATCGCGAGTCGCGTTTCCTCGGAAAGGTTTATTTATCCAGAGGAGGCGCTCGTTACTTCCTGACGGAAGCGCCGGCATTAAAACACAAGGCACTCTCGTTTCGGAGAAGAGACGCGCGTGTACACATTATATTCGTCGAGGTGGAGAAACGAGAGGCCCTGAATACAAGGATCCCCGAAATTCTGCCACCGCTCCTCCCGGTCGAAGTCAACGACCGAGAGCGTCCTTCGTCGCCTAATCGAGAGGGCCCACCTTGAATTTCCACCTGGCGGCGCCTGCGGACCTTCCAAAGGTGAGCAATCTCCTCAGCCTCGTCTTTTCATTTCTTCCCTCCCCCCATCTCGTCCCTTAAGGTAAACTAAAAGCGGCGTCAAAGAGTCCTCTCGTTCATGAAACTCCAAACTGGATGTACCGAATCGACCCAAACTTAACAATATCAATCCAGAGGGAATAATAAAGGTCCCGCCACCCATGAAATTCCATTTCATAAGAAAAATTTTGCAAATGTCTATAATGTATATTTTTTTTTTGAGTCAACCAATTTCTTTTTTTTTTTTTACTCGGCGTACATCCTCGATGGAGAACTCTTCCTGATCGCCCTTTCATCCGGAGCAACCGGGCTAATTTCGGTACACTTGGAGAGTGCCAGAGGCCCGGAGAAGTTGTTTATATTATGTAACGAGCCAATCAGGATTCACCTTGAGTCTCCCATTTCTCCTCGCACTCGAGAAAGCGGCACTCGACATCTCGACCTCGATTTTTCCTACCGGTTTATCCGTCCCGAAACGAGCCCTGCCGTTCCGCGAGGATCGATTATCGACCAGTACTATCGACCCTGTATCGTGGCCAATTTACAAGCCAGTAGACCGATTACAAAGTGCTCCGCCAATTGCCCTAAAACGACGCCCTGCAAAGCACTACATGCGCGACAATTATTTATACAATTTCATCCCGAACAAAATCGAGCTCTAATTAAAACGAAATGGCACTGGAGTCGTTTTAAAAATGTCAAATGCGTGATAACAAAATTTTTCAACGATTTCATACCAACCGAAACGACGGTCCAATTACGACGCGACCGTCCCGACGTACTCGCAACCGCTTACAGGAATTACCGAGATAAAACAGTTACCCAGGCAGTAATTCATCGGAAATACTGCCGTTGTCGTTTTTACGAGTACTTTTATTCTTTTTCATATCTCCTCCTTGCTCTTCTTTTTTTTTTCTTTTTTTTTTTCCAGTGCACACTCGAGCGTACGCGCGACGGCGAGCGCGCTTTCAAGGCGGCCGCCACTTTTTGCGGCCCCATTTATTTATCGACCGAGCCAGGAATAGTGCTCCCGTAGATTCGCGAGAAACGCAAAAAAAAGGGAGAGGGAAACGCCTTTGAACCTCTAAATTTTCGGCGCCTTTCAACCATCAACGAGGAAATCGCTCAATTCTCCCGGAAGGGTCCCGCGCGGTTAAGGCTGTATGAAAGAGTCACTCTACGTACAAGCAATAAAAATAATTACAAAACATTTCTCCAAACTGGGCGCACTGAATAATTTCAATGTACAATCCATGATTACGGAGATCCTAATAAAGATCCCAATTTTTTTTTTAAATTTGAAAATTCGGGAATTTCAAGACCTTCATCAGGACACCTCCGCAATCACGTGTTATTATATATATATATTATTATATATATACCATCTTATTTCATATCACCTTAAATCTTACAATCGTGGGAGTTCATAGAGCCAATCGGATGCGTTGGTGCACGCACGGCCTCGAACAGGCGGATAAAATCGTAGGCGTAGTAAAAAAAAAAAAAGAAAGAAAAAAGAGAAGAAAAATAGTAATCTTAAGAAAAATCGCAAAGGTGTTCCCGGTTTTGCCTAAACATGGCCACCGGCTGCCTTCGGCGTCCTTCCTCGCCGAGTGCATTGTTTCCCTCGGAGCGGCGCAACGCGTGGGCGCGGACCACGCGTGTGGTAACGGTGCGTGCATCTCCGGGAGTGCTACTCCGCCGTTACAGAGACGGCTTAAGGAGCCTCTTAAGTGACTACTTACCGCCGGTGAATTTACCGGGGAGTTTCTTACCATTTTCTAAGTACAACTGAGGAATTGAAGGGGTGGACCGGGGCCTCGAAAAAAATACATGCTCGAGGTGTAAGGTCATTTCAAAATAGTACATTTAACGAGAGAATTTCAAGAGAAATTTCCGGAAAGATAATTTCAAATTTTTTGTTCTTTTTACATTTGTTAACAGATCTTTTTAAGGCTTCATATGAAAAAGGAAATTTCGTGGGTTTCCGTACCACGTGGCGAGGTTTCGGATGTCCCTGGTTTGGAGGAAAGTTATATATTTTCAGGTTTTCGTATATATAGAACGACTCCGTATCACCTTAACTCTTGGGATGCCTCGACGTTATTCCACGGTAAATATGGCCGCTTATTGGGCGATCGGCGAGAGTAAGGAGTACTTACGGCGTAGAGAGACTTGAGCTTGACGTGGTTAAGCGCGGGCACGTCCACCATGGAGCACTTGAGAAGTATCGTGGTGGTTTGGCTGGGCATCTCGTCGCTTCGCAGGGCCTCGCGAACTCGACGCTAACGAGCCGCGTATCGCCGGCACAGAGAGGAACGTTCATAAATAAAGCAGGGCACCTCGCGTCGGGAGTAACGCGCGCAGCAACGAGCGCGGACGAATAAAACTAGCCGACCGACAACAAGCGGTGGATCATGGTCCTTCCTCGCCCTTCAGCGGGTTAATTCCCCTCTATATAGAAATCCAGTAAATACGGTTTGAAATCGACGGTTCCCATCCAGAGGTTCTCGAGTTTTCGTCGCGAAGTCGCGCCCCTATTGGCACGCAAAATCTGTGCGCAGCCAATCAGCGCAGCCGGCCAAGCTCCCCGGGGGGTATATAAGGGCGCACGTGATGCGGGCCACGTGACAGTCGGCGGCCAACCTCGGACCCCGGAGCTCCCCTTGGCGGACACAAAGGTAAGACTTCCTGGGCCTCTGAGTATATTAGGCAGTATGGGTAGATAGGTAAATTAGGCAGTGTTCTAGTCGCGCGTCGAGTTGCCTTCGGCCTGCGGCAGGAGAGCGAGGTTAAGTCTCCGCAGGGAAATGCGGACTCGGGACGCGCGGGGGAGGCTGGCAGTGACCGAACTCTTGCCGTCTCGACGGTGCCTGACTGACTGCTTTCCACTCGGTCACTTTGAGACCGAGTCGCGGACACAAAGCGCCCCTCCCCTGCGCGCCCGCCGCCATGTTGACTCCCCTCCACGCACACGCACAGCTGGCGTCCCCACCCCCCGGCATGCCCATAAGTGGCGTGTCGGTGAACCCGAGTGAGAGGGTGTGGGCGACGGACGGGGACGGAGTATGTAAATTCTCGGTAAAATTTAAACGGAGTATGTAACAAAGAAAATTATCGACCTTTTCGGGACTTTGTGGGAAGCAAGGAATTATTAAATCTTAAGTCTTATTATTTACATGACATTACATACTTAAGTATTTTACATAAACTTCTCTAATAAAGTTTTTCAAATCTTAGATGCTGATTCCACCGGATGTGAAGGAAATAATGAATCTCCCCGGTTCACTCGAAAATAAACGAGACTCCTAAAGAGCAGGTTTACCTTCGGCGATCCGGTGTTTATTGAACGTTTATTGAACGGGCTCAAACATATGAGTAAACGGACTTTACGGTACGTCTCGATTCATTCAGGAAGCGAACAGAGGCCGCATTTAATCGTTACCATGAAGAATCAATGAATAATCCGTTTCTTTCCTTTTTTTATACAGAAAACCCTGATTGTCGATGCAGCAGGAAAAAGACGTCATTTGGACGTGAATCATTGCTGATAAGTGTGTGATTATACAAGGTGAACAACCGTCGAGGAGACGGTGAGAAAGAAATTATTTACCCCGCAGAAGAAATGTTCATTGTACCAGAGAAATAATTCTTTGAATTCGAAATTCGTTTAAATTAACAATGTAATCATTCTTCTCAACAAAACAATTGTTTCTTGCAATCATATATGATTCGAGCAGCAAATCTATCTTTTTAGTTTATTTTAATTGGTGTCACTCAAAGAAAAATTTTTTTGCTCCCATGAATGTTTTTTTTCCTCAGAGTACAGTCCGAGTTTTACCGACTTTTTACTACCGAACGATAAGATGAGAATCCGAGAATGGGAATATTTACTTGGGACTCGTTATCGGTTACTCTTTATCGTATCCTTCGAAATATACTTATCGGGGATCGGAAAGAACGCATTTTAGACACTGACGAGGGTTCGAAATTATCACGTACTAATCCTTCGGAGAAAAATTTCCCTCCTTGCGATAGGCTCTTTTTTTTTTTTTTCTTACGGTGGAATATTCTCCGGAAATACCATTGTCTTCATACAATTGAAATATTGCTGACGTAGGTATTTAGGATATTTTTTACCGACGTCAATCAATTTTCTGGACGTGTTTCACTTCAGCGTAATGAGTGAATTTTCCATTTTTTTTTTCCCCTTCCCAGGGTGTACCGTAGGTTAAGCATCGGTAGTCAGCATATGTGCGAACGATTCTTTTTTCCCTTAGAGCGAGGACTTTGACCGTAAGTGGACAATAGGAGTGCGCGAATCCCATTACACACGCACATGCCGTACTTTACGGCCTGCGGACGTGTATAATACAACAATACCCGAGTACTTGTATTCCTGAGTGACGTACACCTCCACCCGAGTGTACTCGTGGTATAGACCCCGGAACAATGAGCCCAGGATGCGAATAAACTCGGAATCCGTTAATTGTTTATCAAGCCACTTGAGAAATCGTCAGGGTTGCCTTCTAAATTTACCATCCTGGGAGCAATAAATTCACTTACCTAAGGCGATATCAAAGAGTCGTTCTGTACATATCGAAAGTCAAAATATTGATAAAATTGTTCTCCAAACTGGGTGCACCGAATAATTTGATACTTAACCACGTGATTACGGAGGTCCTAATAAAGGTCCTGAGACTCTCCTTATCAGGGATTAATAGACAATTTTTTTTTTTTTTCGATAAATGAAATTTCGCGAATTTCGACACCTTTATTAGGACTCTGTAATCACGTGTTAGAATTTAAAATAGTGTCGTGTGTGACACTTGAAGACCTTAATTTAGAGTGATATCACGAGTGGATCAGCTTTGGTGACTTAGCCTCGGCTGATAAAAGGAGAAGTCACCGGTGAGAGAGAGCCGGAAATGCGATTCCGCTCACCTGACACTCAGGTGTCACTGTCACTGCCATGGTGCATGTGCATCTGACTGTGACGCCGGTTATGAAGGTGCACGGGTGACAGTGACAATGATCATTGCTTCTGTCACCAGGGCTCTAGGTTGGGCATGAGTGCGAGCATGACTCCGACCGCAACTATGATTGCGATTACGAGTGCAACAATGATTCACGTATCGTTCACTCGGTACGTTTTTCATACACCAAGGAGTCACCGGTTTAGCACAAGCATAGGACAATTCAGAAAGTGCCAGTGCGGTGAATAATTATTCTAAGCTGTACGTCGCAAGGGCATTTTCCGATTTGCACGAGTGCCCTTGACTTTTTCCAATATTTTTCCTCAACATGGCGGGATCTTTCAAGCGATTTAATCCGGGAAAATGGCCGGCTAGTTGCATTCCTACGTTCGCCGACTGTTCGGTAGGAATGTCCGACTTCGCTAATTGCGATTCCAAGGGTGCCACTACTGTTTTGCACGCGAGTGAGTTAGCGAGCTACCGATCGCATGCATGTACTGCGAATGCGCAATTTGAACAAATCGCCGAACGTACATGCGGACATGCTTGCTTCAGGAATGTCCGCAGGATGCGTGCGAACGAGAGACCTTCCATTGCCGAGGAGGCAATCATGTCCTGCAAGCCGAAGCAGGGAAAGGAATGGAAAACCGATCGGGTAATTAGTAATCAAGGGATATACACGCGGAAAGAAAAATTTCCTTCATTTACGATGACATGAAAGGACCGTTCTATATGTATAAAACGTCAAATATTTATATACTTACCGCGTGATAATGCCCTAACGAAGGTATTTAAACTCCCGGAAGAAATTTCTTTTTGCTTCTTGTCACGGTCGACCAAATGCCATTAACCAAATCGTCAAACAAAATGTATTTATTCAACGAAATATTTTTTCCGCCCGTTACCCAAGTGTTATGACAGGACGTCAAGTTTTATGAATGAACGCGGCGTGTGTACGCGCGGTCACGTGGTCTCTCATTCATGAGTCCCCACGTGACCGTGACGCCCACGCACGTGGGATCCGAGGTGCTCGACCTGTGCACCAGAACGTTAAACGTTGACTCGAGCTCGTAAAAACCTCGGCTGCTTTGAAATGAGAAAACGGGAAGGAAAACATATTAATAGAGAAGAAAAAAAAAAAGAGAGACTGCAAAGTAAACGACATATGAAATTCGCCATTTGTTCTTAAATCAATGCACGGGTGATTGCAGCGAGTCGATGTTCGCAAGGGTCCAAGAGAAGTGCTCCGAGACTTCGGAATTCCGTCGTAAATCAGGGCAATATCGCGGCAATAATTTACGCGGGCATAAATCAGTAGCCATCATGACCTCGGTTAACCTAACCTTACTTTCCCGAGATGTTACTACTGTGCAATCACGTGGCGGGGAGTTGGAGCGCTGGGCTATAATTAACAGCTCGAGCAGCTCGAAATTGACTTTTCGACCAGGTGAACGTACGTTCTTCGGCGTTTCCACGATTTTTTAACAACAATTCAAAGCCAGGGTAAAAATGTTCGGAGTCGGGAAAATTCGAAAAATGAATTTTAATTTTTTCTTCCCGGGGGATGTCGAACAGGAAGTCCAGGGATCGAAGTGAAACTACGTTTATTGATGAGACGTGTATTGATTTTCTAGGAAGTCAATATTGGTCACGGCGTTTTCTAGCCTCTTTTTACCCGGAATTGCGCAGATCACTTGCGCCGAGGCTCGTGCGGTTACTTGCGTCACTATGAGTGGATCTGCTTAGTCAGAAGTAAATGTCAGAGGGATAAATTGCGTAAGTCGGAGATCGATTCGGAGATGATTTTTCCAGATATCCCTTATATCGACTCGATCTGCAGCTCCTAATGCGTCTAGGGGAATTATGGAGACGGGGCTTCCGGTTTTCTCCGATTAATTCGATGCACATGCACCGTTCCAGGTCTCATTGAATTCCAAACGAATTATTTAGCCGAGTGATTAAAATTGCGATTACGTCGCGAATCTTTCCGAGTATCGACTTGCAATATTACCCGAGGAAATGTCAAACCGTTAAATGATATTCCTAATTTTCATACATATGGCAAGTTTGGATTATCTTTACGTTAATTGGCCTAGTTACTGCGGAAATGGTAGTTCGCAAATGTCGAAGGAAAAAAACGGTGGCCGATCGATCGTGGACTTTCCTCGGTTATTGCCGTTCGATTTCTTGGACGCGCCCGATGGTCTTATCCGACGATTAAGAGTACCTATGCTTCAATGAGATAATGAGGAGGTGCTCTCGGCCGAAGAGGCGATCGTAATTGGATATCTTAGCGAGCCACGACTACCGATTGATCTTGCATCCGGAAGTGAAGAAATCGGCGACCCGTAATCGATTCCGCCGATTAACCTCACTAGATGGCCGCAATTTGAGCTCCTTTGCTCCACCTACCCTGGGAGAAGAAATCCACTGGACCGAAGAAATATTATCAGTGAAATAATCGTTCTGACAAAATAATCGCTCCTTGAACAAAAAACATTTCTTTGGTTCAATGAAATATCTTCTCGGTGTAATCGCAGGTTATGAGAGACTCACCCTTTCCGGATTTTGGCAAAAATCGTCTTTTGAGTGCCTACTCACCTGGAACAAAAAAAATAATCAATAATTAGATAACTTTGTCGTTTTTAATTCGATATTTCAGGACTATTCCAATTCCTGAGGTCAGTGGAAAAAATCTGGGCATTTTTCTTCCTCTTTTTTTGTTTTTGTTTTTGGCAAAAAATTTATTTCAACGACGCCAAACGATGCGAGCAGAATTGCATCGGACTTGTGCATCGTGTCGTTGCACTTAGCGCAATGCGCTCGTAGAGTTCATTGGACCTTTGTGTCATCGAGCGGTCCCTTTGTGACTTCGTTAGACGAGGAATTGGCACTTAAAAAGCGAGTAAAAGAAACGAAATAAGAATGGAGAAATTCCCGCTTAAGAGGACAAACGGAATTCTCTATGCACTCGGCCACTTAAAAAAAAAATATCATTAATGCAAAAATTTATGATATTAAAATGAATCTTTTTTCGTGACTTTCAAGACCTTTATCACAGGAGCTCCATAATTGCGGGTTAAAGTTTCTAATTATTCCGTGGTATATCCAGCTTGGAGATAAGTTAGATAATTATTATTTCATCTTTTGGTGTACATAAAATGGCCCATTATTATTACCTTAATTATATCGTAGGGTTGAGTCGCTGTTGTGGCAAATATCGGATTAAGGGATTTCTTTTAGCCGTGAAAACGATCACCGGACCGAAAGGGGTGTTCCCACCTGTCGTATAGTGTTACACACAGGTGAGGATACCCATCGATTGCATTGTATAAGTACACCCTGCTTTAGCCTCGCCCCTCCCAGTGTACGTATCATTTTACACGGAAGAATTTGCACGGAGTCAAGCGTAACGCGATCCCTGTACAGGGGATCAGAAATTCAGGGGTGAAAATGGAGGGACAAGAGGCGATAAATTTCCCCTACACTTGATGTGACGGCCGACGTGATTAAGGAAAATAATTTAATTAGAGTACTCATTAAGTTAATAACTTCGAAGAAAAAAAATCTTCAACGCCAATCTTAAGGCTCATACTCGATGAGCCACTTGTAATGAAATTTCAATGGGGATAAAGTGATTACTGAAAAAAAAATTATCACCGGATAATTCCTCCCGCGGGAATACTATGAAAAGGACGTAAAAAGTGAAAGTCAAAGGCGGGTAGAAAAAAAAAAAAATTATAAGTCGTTCGAACTGTCGTGGATTAATAACTCGGTCGGGGTGCCGGCTGGGAAGCAATGTCGGTGAAAACGATTGTAAAAGGCATTAAAGGTGACCGTTACACCACGACGAGCAGTAACCGTAAACGGTTACTTAATAGCTGTGCCCAGTTACCGGTCGAAAAAGAATGTCTCAATACCTTCGTAACGACTACAACGCCTAAGAATTTCTTCTCGCATCGGTTCCTCTCGTTCCTCTCTCAAGTATTTCCCGGAAGAAAGACTGATAAAGTGATTACATGCAAAGCGAATTAAGAGAAATCCCAAACTGTAGTTTAAGAAAGAAATTATATTTTACATCCGTTTAAGGTGATAGGAATGGGTCGTCATATATGTACATCAAATCGTCAAAATATTGATAAAACATTTCCCCACCCTGGGTGCGCCGAATAATTTGAAGCCTTTTTTTTTTTTTTATTTCGTATGCTTGATTAACGTCAATTAGAACGGCATTAGGTAGGAAATGTTATTTTATCTGAAATGGTAGGTTCCGATTTTAATAAGTAGCGGATAGCTGATTTCGTCATTTCGGAGATGATTGACGGTATAAAATTCATCACCGTCGGCTTTGTAAAAATCAATATCGGTCCCTCTTAAGTTCGCCTGATAAGAGCACTTGATCGTGTCGAGTAACTCGCGGTATGCGCGGCTCGAGTGCGCGATATATAACGCGATCCACCATTGACAAATAAAAGTGAACAGCTCGGTGCGCATAACGACCTTCTTTCATTGCGCTATCAGTGGGGTCGTTGAATTTTTTTAAGCCGCTTTTCCCGGGGCCTGATAGCGTCGCGGCTCGCGCTCGATTTGCATGCCAATGGGCTAAAGTCTGCCTCTTTTGTCCCCGTAAACATTGCGGGTAAT